ATATCACGGTCAACCATCTCTATATCATTATGAAAAATTAAAAGAGTTAAATGCAAAAGTATATTACTTATACCAATTCTTTACATATAGTAACGAAAATTGTCAAATATTCGTTACAATTTTGCCTTAATTTTATTCATAAAATGGATTTTTTTCATCAGTATTGGTCTTGGTCTTGCACTTTGCAACTTTGCAAGACCAATTTTTGGCAACACTAGTTGAAATATAGAACTGTGAATAAAGGTATAAATTTTTCCGCTAGAAATATATAATCAATATAATTAATAATAAAAAATGTTGAAATTGGAGTTAGTCTTTCTATCAACTGAAAGGCTCAATTGATAGTAGATTGAATTTTAAAAATACATAATATTTAAAATTTCTCCAAGCTGCATGATCCGCCCATCTTAATCTTCTTGCCTCCATGTCATAAGATATTGATTGACCAGTTTCTGTAAAGTTCTTTAAAAATCTTCCCATCAGCTGTATATCAGCACTGGCTCCAGCATAGCACTGTTCACTCTTAATTTGACATTTCAAGATATTTTTCTGGATTTCAATATTCTTGAAACAGAGAAGCTCTGTTTGCACGTGCATATGCTATTTTTTACGGTTGATTATTAAATGGCTAAATACAGTAATTATACTGTTATTGATGTCCTTGGGAACGGAATAAAAAAACAAAACAACATAATTAATATTTTCAAATTATCATTTTTAACGAGTCGTAAAATTTAAACGTTTTACGTGCCGTAATAAATTGTCTAACGATTTTCTGTGACCTTCATTTCTTTGACGAAGGTCGTAATAACAAGATAGTTTTTATCTGGTTGTCGATTCACACAACTTTCCTTACCACATCATAGTTTCATAAGACAAATGCAAAAATTATTTAGGGATATTTTCGCTTCCAATTTTCGGTTAACAAAAAAATTACTTGTTTTAAAAAATGGTTTGTCATTCGGGAAAATATTGTATAACTCTTATGCAATTCGGGTTTGATAAATTTTGTTTAATAACATTTATTCATTAGAATACTTTCAAGGATTGATGAAAGAATCAAAAATGAGTCGTTGAAAGTTTATTCGATTATTGAATTATAGAGAGACATAGAATTGTTGGCTCCCAGGTGTGTTCAAGTGGCAAACAATGATAAATGTATCTATTGTTTTAATACGTTATACATATATATATATATATATATATATATATATATATATATATATATATATATATATATATATATAATTATTATAGGTATTATGCTCATATATATATGAGCATAATACCTTTTCATATATATGGTAGGGTTATAATTAAAAAAAGCCACAACAAACAGCCTTGTGTCTTAAAATAATGGTAAAGATTTTAGTTTCGCCAATTTAGGCGGCATCATTAGGAGAAAAAAAAATCTGGTGCACACATCCCACAACTTTCACTTAACACTCTAATTTGAGTTGAAATTATTTTTTGGCATAGTCGGTCCATTATAAAATTTTAGAAGTGCATTTTTAACGGAGCCAAAGCGTAAATTGTATTGAATACAGCTATATAAAAATTAAAATTTGTATTATTTTAAACAAATAAAAATACCCACAGTGAATTTTAAATAAATATAGCATCAATAATTTTTACTTTCACTTTACCTTTGTCTGAAAACACTTATTTCTACTAAGAAGAGAGTGGTAAATGAAAGTTGTTTGATGCGCGCAATGCAACAGATTTTCTTCCCTCGGAAAATTAACCAAAAAAACAGGATAGGTCAAACGTCGTGTCAATAAATTAAGTGTATAATTTTTTAATTTAAGAGTGCGGAAATTCATCAAGCTATTTACTAATTAAATTTGTAAATATTACTTAGTGGTTTTTTGTTGAAAAAGACTTGTTGTTTAGAATAAATTAGCGTTTATATTTTCATCAGGCATCCAATTAATTGTTTAATGCGACAGTAAAAGCAAGTACTCGAAAAAATATGGGAAGTAGCTCAGAATATGCAGCCGTTATCTGTCGATTTCAAAGCAGCCTCTAATTCCATGAGATAGTAACTGTCTTATTTTTGGAAAATACTCATTTCTGCTAAGAAGAGGATTGTAAGTGTAAGTCGTGTGATGCGCGCACCAGATTTTTTTTTCTGTCTGGATGATACTTGAGTCAGTGGAACTGAATGGATTTTTCCACTTATAACATAGTATCTATTTTCTATCTCTTGGTGATTTTTTACTCGTTTATATTAATATTAAAATAAACAAATATCAACAGACTTTGTTTGAAAACAGTTCGTTGTTTATTCATTCAACTGTTTTTTACGATCAGTAATTGAGGCACAGTTGATAGAATTTATGTTTTCTTTACTCTCTTCTTGTCCTGTCATTACACACCTTGAACAATGGCAGCACTGTGCTGTAATGTAACGGAGCTCTGGTACTGGTATTGGTAGGTACTCGTGGTTAGAGGCACAGCTGAGCCCAGTCATAATGAGTCGTTCACAGCGAATCGTTCCTTTGTACCTCAGCCATTGTTATCAGCGTCATTATCAGGTTCACACGGTTGTGGAATGTCATTCATGAGGTCTTTGTCTTAGCGTTTTACAGAAAAAAAAAAATTGTTCCCAGGTCTGAGTATAATTGTCCTCTGTTCGGTACCTAGCAACAAATAGCTCTAGTGCGCTACAATTTTCTTAAAAATGATAATATTTTAGTAGATAAGGATATTTGTTTACCAATGATTATTTCTAGAGAAGCTTTCGGCGATTTGAACCAATTTCACCATAGTGTAAGATATAGAGGTCGCTCATCTCTGGTAAATCTCTGGGTTTGGACGTTACCTTCCCTATGCTAGAATCGAACCCGCGCCTTAGTGGTCAAGCAATCGAGTAGGGTCTGCACTTGTTAATTTTAATTTATTATTATTATTTTTTAAAAGAGGCCTTATTTACTGCTTAAAAAAATAGAATAAATAAATAATTGAAACGGATAACTTTTTTAATAAAAATAATATCATTCTCTTCACATTAAAAAATGTTATTATTATTACTTTACCAATAAATATACCATTGAATTTGTTAATAATAATTAGGCGCCTAATTGTAGCCACAATTACAAAAAAAAAATTCCAAAACAATTATATGTATAAATGTATATATATATTTTTTTTCGGTTGGCGCTACAGACTTTATAGATCCTTGACCGCGAGATGTGGCCTTCTAGACCACATCCCGATTCCTGATTTAAGTACACGAGTTAGAGGAGGTAGAGTCATCAGTCCTACGCCCGGTCGGTGTGACTTGCCTCCAGTAAACTGACGGGTCTCACAAACCCGGAGGGGGAGGGAGGGGGTGGAGTTCTCGGACAGCGTGGCTTTCCCGGTGGACGGCCACAAATCAAAGTTATATATATATATAATTATTTAATTTGTTTATGAAATCGTTATCTTTTATTGGGCCATCTTTGCTATGGGCAAGGGAACTGCTCTTTCTGTTTTCCTATTACATACAATACGTTACTCCATTAAGGCACTATTTCGCTCGCTCTCTCCAATATGTACGAAATGACTTATATTCGAGTTAATGAACACACTAACTCAAAAAAAATTAATCAACATTGTGATAGTTGTTTTGATTCTACATATTAAGACCATAAAAATTCGTATATTACATTGTCGGTCCCATTTTAAACTTCTAGATGTGAAAATCACTACTTTCAACAGCTGTTCCATTGTTCTTGCAGAATTATACATTCCATTTTTTTAATTATCAAATTGCATTTACTAACAAAACAAATACACAAAGAAGAAAACTTAGAAAAAAATCTTTTTTTATCTGGAAAAGTAGTATTTCTTAATTTTCAAAACATGGAGAGAAAGATATGAGAAAGATCACGTTTATTGAAATCATCTCATCAATATAAACATAAATAATCGATGGAACTTTAAAAATTAAAAAAGTCGTTAATGAATCATCAAAGCTGCATTATGTACATAAAGAGAAGACAAATTTGTTTTTCGAATTATGTAAATATTTACATATTTACAGTTGGCGGTATGAAATATACAGCTAATTGTTGCTGAGAATTGAGGTGAATAAGGGTGACGTTAGTAACAAATAAAAAATAGATTAAAAGGCCATTTTACACGTCAAGTTTCTAGATCTGATGTTTATTTATTTATACATGTTTTAAGCTCTTCAATCACCTGGGTCATTTTCGCCCTATATTACAATTTGATGAATTACTACACACATAACAAAACTATAGCTAAGAAATACAATAAAAGAAATAAATTAAATAGAAATTTAAAGTTTGGAAAGTTTAGAACAGTTAGAGATGATTATGATAAAACGAACTAAAATTATAAAAATTGAAGGTTAAAGATTTAATAGGAGATAAGATAACTAAGACAATAAAAATAAAGATTAATGATATTAAGAATAAAAGATAAAAAATAAAAATTAATATTAATAGAGGCGAAGTTAAAGAATACAGTCTAAATATTAAAAAGTACAAGAACCATTAAAATTAAACATTAAAGATTAGAAAAGGACAAGTTAACAGTTAACAAGGACATTTAAATAAGAGGTTAATGATTTCAGAAATATAATCTAAAAATACGGTTTAAAAAATAAAATTAATATTCAAAGAAGAAAAGTTAGAAAGCACAATTTAAATACTAAAAAATACCAAGAAGAAAAATTGAAAAAAGTTTCTAGATCTAAGCTTTGTCTAAGAAATTGATCACTAAAGACTTTATAGACTCAGTATAGTCAAAATGTTGTTATTCAAAGATCTCTCGGGATGTATGGTATTTCCTAGTTTCATAAAACTTTTTTCTACCTAATTAAAATATTAGGTAAACAGTAAAAAAAAAAAGTAATGAGCATATTTTTTGTCCAATCAATAATTTAAGAATACTTGCTTACTTGTTAAGGAAATATCTTTAAATTTTATGTCGTTTGAAAAATAATTCTCGATATTATATAGAATAATCTAGTTATAGATATTTGTCAGTTGCTCTTTGAAGAAGGAGAAATGATGCTATTGAGGCGGGTCTCAAACCCGCGAAGTAGAAATATCGGATACTCCGACAGTGGAGCACTTCCGGGCCCGAAGCGGTCTGCCCCGTCGCCCCTAACAGCGGAAATTAAAAAGGGACCGAGTAGCCTCCAGTTATAGCTAGTTCCTATCCTCAATCGATGTATCGAATCAAGGCCTTCATTATATTATATGTATTTAGCCAATAGGTGGCTCTAAGGCTTAATAATAGATTAATGAACAAAAAGTACTACGAAGGGGATACAGACATTTCTATAATATTAGAAATGTCTGTCTAAAATATCCTATATATTAGTTATAAAAGGTGACTTAATAATTCGATAAAAAAGTTCTGTACCATGGACTCTAATGATTCTGTTTTAGAATTATGGGAATTAAACTAACCTATACCTGTCTTTGGTTTCTCTCTGTAGAACGAACATTTATTTAAATAAAGCTTTCAAAGTTTATCCGTTTGTCATAAATTTAATGCGATGTCTGCCGATACTATAAGCTTTAGCAATATAATTTTTTTTCATATATAAAAAAATTCTTAAATATACATTTCCAAAGTTGTAATACAAGTAGAGACAACTACCTGTAGCTGAAATCTCTCTTCCAATACATTTACGTATTAATAAAAACAGCATAAAATTCAGATATACCTTGGTTTTGTTTCTCAAAATTTCTTCCCAACTTCAAATATCTCACAAGTTTAAATGCCCGTAGTTCTGAAACTAATTATTAGAATTGGGTAAAATTTGATATTGTTACGCAATATTATATTTAATTTACAGCTACAAATTTTCATTAAAATCTGAGAGAAATGGGGGTGAAGCCGATTTTTATCTGGACGATTTGTTATAGAATTTACCATTTAGAACTTAATTAAGCATTTAAGTTTGACTTTTTACTTTCAATCGTAAACCCAGATTTATATCTAACTTATTAACAAATATATTATTTAATTGTATATCTTTATCTAATTACATTATACTTTATAAATAGTTTAATGCATTTGTTCATAAGGAATTTTTTTCAATATTTGAAGATGATTTTTATAAATATTTTTAAATTTTGATAAAAATATTCCTTAAAGCACTCTGCCGAAAATAAAATTTTGAAAAGACCTTACGAGAGAGGAACAGAAAGAGTCCAGCTAACGTTTGCTGAAGTGGAAATATTCCAGCTGACGTAATATTTTTAATGCTCATCACAACGGAGTTTACCGTTGGTTGGTTTTATTTATTCAATAAAATATTTTCATTTATTTATTTTTAAATATTATAAATTAATCTTACTTTAATAATAGATCATTGTATTTACAATTTATTTGGTTTTTGTTACATTTACAATAATTTTTTAAGTATATTTTGAAATATTTCTAATAAAGATCAAAGCTGCGTTTATTCCACCGTATTTTTTTTCTTCATTTATTGCACTGGTAACGTTTCGCCTATATCGCCATTATCAAGCCAACTGCAAGACTTAATTAGCAATTTGTTTTTTAAAAAAACCTATATTTAACACTATGTGATAGTAACGTTAATCTTTTCTAAAATCTAACATTATATAAATTATATCCCTAATAGGATTTTGTCAACAAGTTAATTTACATTTTAATTTTTACAAAATAAAATAAAAAGATTTCATAAATAAAAATTACATTTATTAAGGCAAGTTCAATCAGATAATGGCCCTTAGTAAATTGCCCTGTTTTACTAAGCTTTCTATCTCTTATTTTTGTTATAATTTCTACTATTTTTGTAATTGTATATATATTGTATGAATCTCAAATACTCAATGCCATTAATTGAGGCATAATTTATTTTTCCTCAATAAAACAAACTTTATAAATAAAAAAAGTAAATTCCAAATTTTCGTTCATAAAATAATTGGATTATAGTCGCCATGGGAATATGAACTTGGGAGGTTACATACTGTTATATTATTATTTCTCTTTTATAGTGTCAAAGACTGCTGCATGAACAGTCTTTTAAGTTGGCTTAAGAAAAGAAAAATAAATTTAGTGGAATAAACACAATCTAAATATTTATTATGAATCTAATTTCATCTTGAACTAAAATAAATAGAATGAAATATATCTTTTCTCTCAAGTCGGAAAACAAATATGGTACAATTTTATAGTACACTGTAATAGCCTAATAAAACGAGTAAATAAATATTAATTGGTAAATTCATATTAGGTAAATGTTATTTTGAGAGAATTAAAAAAATTAAAAATATATGATTAATCTATTTGTTCCGTGTAATAATTCAAAGTATTTTTATTTCAAAAATCTATTTAGCTTTAAGAGCAAAAATTCAAATATATTTATATAGTTTTCTATTTTTCTAACCCTCTGTTATTTATTTACAGGCTACTTGCAATATGTACATTGCTAACAATAATATTTATACTTTAGGCAACATCAATTTTATTGAAAGTATATCGTTACTATTATTATATTTGTACTCAAGGTATAACAGTTTTGTATTCTGCAACTGCAATAAGTAACCTATTACTATGGAAAATTGCATGGAGAAATATATTATAAAATTATACTAATAAATCATTATAAAGAAATAATCAGTTTTTTACTTACGGCATTTCGAAGCATTAATGGTGATACATATTATTGTTAGCATTGTAATATATTGCAAGTAGCCTGTAAATAAATTATAAAAAAAAATAAATAAATAAATGGGTTGGAAAAAAAAATTAATTTTTTTGATGTAACTGGATATAAAACCCAAATCTGCCAGAGATAGACACTTATTATTTAAAAATAATAATATATTAATGCTATGCATTTAATTAATTTATTTGTAGAATTCATAAGCATACCTTATTTTTTTCCTTTTTCTACTGAGGATAAAGTTTAAGTCTATGAGAAAGCAATATTCTAAAGCAAACTAATAAATCTAAGGGGCAATGAATACTTAATTAGAGTTCTCTCTCTCTCTCTCTCTATCTCTCACTCACTCTCTCTCTATTTCTCTCCTCTTAAGGTCTTTTTCGGTGAGAATTTGTTTAACCAGGACTTTATCCTCTCTCCCCCGCAAAGACAAATCTTAAAATTAGAATCTTGCAAATTTATCTTGAACCGGCTTTTTTAAGCGGAAAAATACAGGCCCTGGCAGACTAAAGAAAAACAAAGCTCTCAAATTTATAGCTTAATCCCTTTATGGCCGCAGTCTTTTCTCCGCGGCGATATTTTAAATTGAAAATCTGCCGCAGGACTTCCTTGTCCTCGTGCTCATCAATGTCTTTGAGGTCTTGAGCGACTTTATTTTTTTTCTTCTAATTTTTCGTATGTGCCTTTTCAGTGGAAGTCGAGATGGTGTGTCGTCAGGAAAATATCTCCAGTAGCAGGTATGTTATTATTACTTTATAAGTATGTCAATATTTAATTATTATTGCGTAACGCATATATATGTATATATATATAAACTAAATATATTAAATAAAAATTAATTATAAAAAGAACCGGGTTATAATCGAACATAGATTTCGTTCATTTCAGAATACGATTCATTAATTCAATAATTACTGCTTATTTCTTCTTGCTTATCATTCATCAATAGATAATTTTTATTATATTTACTCATGTTATTCATTCATGTATTTTAATTCATGGTATTGTTTTACAATTCTATTCCATTATAATTGATTTAATGAAAATCAGAATTATTTTAATCAGTGGCTGTTGTTGCTCTTAACTTCATTCATTGAATTTTTTAATTATTTTTTTCATAGCCCCTTTTTTATTTATGTTCGTCTTGAATCCTTGGGTTTGTTTTGTCTACGTAATAATCATTTTACTGCTAAAAAGTATTGTAAGGTGTATTTTGCTTCTTTTTTTTTTTTTTTTTTTTGTCGTTCCTGAGTATTTTTTCTACATCTGTAATATAATCGGTGATGAGGCTCACCTCAGGCTTGAGTTGCCCTTATCCTCTAGAGCTTACAACTAAATTAAAAATAACCTATGTTATGTAAGTTTTTGCCAAGGTTTTGGAATTTAGGCTGGTAATAAGTTGTTTAATAAAGAGTTTGCCAATTGTTGGGACTTTTCGAAAAATGATTTTTTTCTTTTAGTGAGAAATTCTTTCACTGTTAATAAATTTAGCGCTATTTGTATATACAATGTTTTTATTCTCTGCATCGTTTGAATATTGAATATTGCATAAAGCCAACAGATATTCATATACTTCACTCGAGTAGACATTTTCACTCATCCACTATATAATTCTAATTATTCATTTTAGAAAAATAACTCATTCTAATATTTCCCGTAAAAGAATCAAATTCGCTGGAGTTTTTTTAATATACTATTATTATTATTTGCTATTCACAAACATAATATTATTGCTCTGCGAAGATTATGGAACTAAAACTCAGTTGAAACCAGCAATTTTGTTTTTATCCTAACCTTCCAATACTACTTATAAAATATTTACATGAATTATGTATATATTTGTAAATATTTGGTACATAATATCATTGAGTTAAGGGGAAAAAATGTAAGTTTTAACTGTCAGTGGTCATCGATTTCAATAAATTTTTTTTTTGTGTTATTAAATCGAAAATATTTGACGCATCTTGGCGTTCCTTCTAATAGGCCTCGGGAGCCGAAAAAATAAAATTTATTTAATTTCAAAAGCTTTTTATGTTGTTTTTTTTCTTAGTCTTTGCTTAACGCAGATTTGTATGCTGTTTATGAGGCTCTTTCTGTTGACAGAATGACTAATTCCAATTTCAACATTTTTGAGTAACTAATGTTAGTGATATTTCTAGTTGTTAAATTAGTAATATCTGTAATAGACAGTCAGTAAGTCGATTGCAGAGTAAATTATTGTAGTTTTGTAACAAAGAGGTACATTTTCCTACTAAAAATATCACTTTTTTATTATTATTTATGAAATTCACAACTGTACAAATTAATATACATTCAATATATGTGATACAGAGAAATACATGGCATGTCATGGCTTGTAGAGAATCAACCCATTGCTAGCACTCTAATAAAGTTTCTAAATTTGGAGATCACAAGGCCATCTTCTTTTCAGACGCCTCGAAGGGTTATCAGGGGTCGAGGAGGAAGCAAAGTTAGAAACGAGAGGATTAGGATGGTTCTGAA